GTCACTTTATTTTATTGCTAGGGCGTATTCTGCTGTTAAATTTATTATTATTTATAACCGTTTTGCGATAGTATTTACTAGATTGAAGGCAGCATTTACAATTCATTCATAGTTCAAAGTTGCATTGGGATTACGTTGATACAGTGTAACAATCTTGGCACCGGTGATCTCTTATCAGTGTGCAACGTAGCCAAAATAAAAAAAAACATGATCATATGAACATTGCTATAATACAAGACTGGTAGGAGGTAATAAATTTGGGGCGAAAGTATTCAAAAATCAGTTTTTGGCTGTTGCCATGGCAGCGGTGAGTGAGAATTTTGAATAGGATAGTCAAACCAATATATCTGTTTATCTATGACATGATGTATAATGAATATTTAAAATTTGAAAATATTATCAGTCAAAACAAGTCAGAGATATGGGTCTAGAAGCCCATTCATTAAAACAAATTTTGAATCTTATCTGAAAAACAAAATTATTTGCATCAAGGTCCCATAATGTCTAATGTATATACCAAGTTTGAACAAAATCCATCTGTAAACAGCCGAGAAATTGTTGATTTTTAAGATTTTTTAGCACAAAAATTGCCGCCATTCGGCCATCTTGAATCAGATCGTAAAAACAATGAGGTGCATCAAGGTCCTATAATGTCTAATGTATATACCAAGTTTGAACAAAATCCATCTGTAAACAGCCGAGAAATGCTTGATTTTGATAATTTTTAGCACAAAAATGGCCGCCATTCGGCCATCTTGAATCAGATCGTGAAACAAATTGACGTGCATATGTATAATATTATGTATGATGTACGTATGAAGTTTGATTGTGATTGGTCCAGGCATTTCTAAGATACAGGACGCACGCACTGACGCACATACACACGGAGGTCAAAACATAAGTCCTCGTTTTCGGACTGCGTCTGAACGGGGACTAAAAAAGATATCAAAAAAGAGGTGCAACTATAAAAGAAGATATCAAAAAAGAGGTGCAACTATAAAAGAAGATATCAAAAAAGGGGTGCAACTATAAAAGAAGATATCAAAAAAGAGGTGCAACTATAAAAGAAGATATCAAAAAAGAGATGCAACTATAAAAGAAGATATCAAAAAAGAGGTGCAACTATAAAAGATATCAAAAAAGAGGTGCAACTATAAAAGAAGATATCAAAAAAGAGGTGCAACTATAAAAGAAAATATCAAAAAAGAGGTGCAACTATAAAAGAAGATATCAAAAAAGAGGTGTAACTATAAAAGAAGATATCAAAAAAGGGGTACAACTATAAAAGAAGATATCAAAAAAGAGGTGCAACTATAAAAGATATCAAAAAAGAGGTGCAACTATAAAAGAAGATATCAAAAAAGAGGTGCAACTATAAAAGATATCAAAAAAGAGGTGCAACTATAAAAGAAGAAATCAAAAAAGAGGTGCAACTATAAAAGATATCAAAAAAAAGGTGTAACTATAAAAGAAGATATCAAAAAAGAGGTGCAACTATAAAAGAAGATATCAAAAAAGAGGTGCAACTATAAAAGAAGATATCAAAAAAGAGGTGCAACTATAAAAGATGAAAAAAGAGGTGCAACTATAAAAGAAGATATCAAAAAAGAGGTGCAACTATAAAAGATGAAAAAAGAGGTGCAACTATAAAAGACGAT